TTCTGGGAAATCTGTGCCAGAATGAAGTTACGAATAAACCATATGGAGATATTCTTTTTGTATGACCATGGTAATAGGCAACGATGGAGGAATAACTGCCATGTGGGCATATGAGTTCTCTGCAGTTGCTGTTACAAATCATTGGCTGCACCTCTCCCACGCACCCACCTATCACCAAGGTTATAGAGACTGAAAGAGGAGACAATTGCTTGATCACATGATCAGAACAACTATTCCTACTTATATGCCAGGGGAGTTGTTTGCAGTAGGATTGGTGTATATTTGGCTGCAAGAAGAGTAGGATGATTTTGCATCCCTAGTGAATCCTTAGAATCCACAGCTATCCAGAAGTTCTTTTATTGCCTCTTTATTGGTAGGCATTTGACATGTCCACCCACTAGCCAAGGAAGCCAAAATTCCTCTGACTGAGAGATTCTTCGAATTTATGTCCCATTTTTCAGAAAGGAAGAGTACCTTGAGTCCATTTAGAGCTCTCTATGGTCGCCTAAAGAGGCAGTGATGAAATAGAATTCCTTCTATCAGTGAGAATGATGCTGGTAACATTTGAGTCACCTTTTTCCATTCTTGAGATCCATTCCTAAACAAATTATCATTTCATCACAGTAGAGAGGTATTGATTCAGACCAGAATGTGTAACATTGTTTGTCATTCTGCTCAATGCCTGAAGCTCTCTGGGCTGGACTTCTTTCATGACAATGGCCAATATCATTTTTTTAATGGCCAAAATCTTGGCAAGCAGACAGCACTCTATTTTCTGTCTCACTTGATTCTGACATTCAGATCATCACTGAAGGAAACTATCTCTATTATTTCATCTACCACAGAATCTTTGATGATTTTAATTAGAACTCAATATTTTCTCCACTATATGATAAGAGGAGTCTTTCTCCTTAATATGAAAGATTGAACTGATGCAGTATTGGCATCTATGTTACTACTTCCCAGCCCCAACTAGACTGTGGTGAGACAAGGGGTGGGGAATCCTCAGCCTCAAGGCTCTTCATAGAACAAATTCCTTTAATAAAAAGGATGTGTTCCGTAAAATTTGGACTTAGTCAAAAGGCTGCACCCAAGGACCTAGAAAGGCCACATGTGACCTCAAGGCCAGAATTTCCCCACCCTTGGGCTAGGCCATTCTGTGGAGAACTGCTAAGCCTTCAGAAAACTATGTGGCAGCAACTGGTAGCCAGGGAGAAGGAAAGCCAATCAATACTAGAAGACAAGGAAAGAAGAAGCATTGGGAAATGCAGCAAGACTTAATTTTTAACCCATAAGACAGAATTTTACTAGTAAACATTTTGTAGATCAGTATTGGCCCTTATGCCAGTAGTGTGTGATTTGTAGTAATATAAAATCATCAAAGGAATAACTTTATCAAAAAGATTTTTTACAGCTTAGTTTGAGAGTCACTGCAAAACACTTTTGATCTTCCCAAAGTCAAAGTTCCTCTTCTCTTCCTATTTAATTCTGAACCCCTCTTACTGTGTATCAAATATATTTATATTAGATATACATATATATCTACATGTGTATATATATTTATACGTGTATATAGGTATATACACATATATACATGCATGCACACACACACATATATGTACACATGCATATATATACATATATGTATACATATACATACATACACAGAAAGAGAGAGAGAGAGAGAGAGAGAGAGAGAGAGAGAGAGAGAGAACTGGACCAGCTTAATGGTTTCTCTATCTACCTGCATTTCATACTCTGGACCAGGAGTTAGCAAACCATGGTCTAAATACCAAATCAGGCCCGCTGCCTGTTTTTGTATAATAAATATGATAAACTTTATTTTAAAATATAAAAACCCTTCTTAGCTCATGGGCTATATAAAAACAGACAGAGGGTGAGATTTGGCTTTTAGGGTATAGTTTGCCAGCCATTGCTCTGGACAATAGGCAAATTTTATCCACTTGGTTTTTCCTGTATAGATTGCTAGGCTGAAATTTTTTGATTTGTGGTTCTCCGTTATGAGCCTCTGTAACATTCCAGAGATTGAAGCAATCACCATCCTATCATCCACAAACAAGAGAATGTGGAGGACCTCATCATCTTTGGAGTAAGGAGCTCTGAGTAAGAAGCACGTAGCTCTCTGTTTTAAGCCTCACTTGACACTGATAATCAGAGGATCACTGAAAGTAAGCGATAATCTGTAATAAGATGTCCCATCTACTAAGATTCATTGTATGATTTTCAATTATGTAGAAGAGCTACCTTGTTGGACGAAAGCCCATCAGACTTTTACTCTATTGAATTAAATGCTTTTTCTACAGTCAATAAACCAGTACAGTAAGACTGGAATCTCTGCACCACTCAGTCAACTGATTGTGAAGAAGAGCTCTGTTGTAAAATGCCCTTTGCAAATCCTGCCTCTTCCCTTTTCACATTTCAAGCAATGATACCTTGAATATGTGTTGAGATCACTCACACTGCCCCCTCTCCTCCATCCCCACACTACAATGAGGAAGGGTTGGGAGGACTGGAGGGGTGGGGGGATCGGAGGTGTTTAATGTTGAGACTGGGGTGGTAGTTACTGTTGCCCTATTTATCTTTCTCTAGGCATATCATCTGTGATTTTCTCCCTAATGATTTAGTATCTCCCCTGTTTTCAGATAGCTTGAGACTCAATCCTTTAATACTCGCAACAAATGGAATGTATCATCCCATTTCTAGATTTACTCTATATATTTGGTCTGCTTCAGTGATCTCTTCTATTTATTTTCTCCAGTACCATTTCTCCAGCTTCATTTAGCACATCATGAAAAGTACACCGAATTATCTCATAATAACAACTCACAAGTTTTATTAATTCTACTTTTGGTAGATGATAGAGTTGAGACTCAAGAGAGGTTGACTGACTTGACCAGGGTAGCATAGTTAGTAAGCATCATAGCCAAGATGTGTTCTGAATCTATGACCAGTGTAGTTTCTGGCATATAATTTCAGTCATTTTTTAGTAGCATTTGATTTGTGGTGTTGTTCAGTCACTTCCGTCATGTCTGATTCTTCATGATGCCATTTGGGGTATTCTTGGCAAAAGTATTAGAGTGGTTTGCCATTTCCTTCTCCAGCTCACTTTACAGATGAAGAAACTGAGGCAAACAGGATTAAGTGACTTGCCCAGGGTAACATAGCTAGAAGTGTCTGAGGCTGAATTTGAACTCAGGAAAGAGGAATCTTCCTGACTCCACATCTGGTAACTCTATCCATTGCCCCACTTAGCTACCCTCTGATATATCATACCAGCTTTCTAAGTCTTACAAGTTCAAGTATACATGAACAGAGCAGCAGCTGACATAGGTATTGCAGGACACAGGATAACCAGAATACATCTAAACATTGCTTTGTCACTAGCAAACTTGGACAAGTCATACGCCATCTCTGTGTCTCTCTTTACTCATTTATGACAACAAACATTTATCTTAAATGGGGCTTAAGAGATGAGCTTACAACAATTATCTAAAATAAAAAGTCAAATCATAGGGACATTGACTTGAGTATGAGACAACATAGAAGAGTTTAAAGGGTCCCAGAACTATAGAAATGAGAGTTGTCATTGTTGCTTTAATAATATCCACTATTTCCTTATGTACACATACACACACACAAAGACTTATCATCTGCCTATCTAAGACCTATGTTAAGTGACTTGCCCAAAATCACAAAGGTAGTTAGTTAAGTAGCAGAATCAGGATTCACACCAAGGTCCTGTGATTTAATCAAATCCTCTTCTTGCTGTACTGTATTGCATATAGGTCAGGCAGTTAGACAGTAGCAGAAATTATATTTGAACCCAGGTCTTCTCATTCCAGACCCCATGTGCTTTCTACTAGCAATTTTCTTCTTTTATAAATGAGGGAAGAGTGACCCAGAGAGAAGTAAATTCTGTGGCATATATTTTATACAGCATTTTGCTCCTAACAATAATGTGAGATGTAGAGTGAAAGTCTGATCATCCTTGTTTTACAGATAAGAATGAATCAGGATAAGGCAGGAACTCAGGGCAGGATGCAAAAACAGGAATCCCATAGCTCATGTTTAATAAATGTTTATTAATCATTGAATATTTATGTGAGATTGACATAAGAAGACAAAGGGATACAGGGTAAGTCTAGCATCATGAAGACTCTTAAAAATACCAATAACAATGGTTCATATTAAAAAAAATACCTTTGTCAGAAGTTCTACTGCGTAAGTCTAGAAAGGACCCTAAAAGGTATCTAATCTATTTCTCCCATGTCACAGATAAAAAACAAAAATCTCAAACCTAGAATCAGAAAGTGACTTGCCCAAAGTCACATGACAAAACAGTGGCAGAGGTGAGAACAGAGCTCACATATCCTGGTCCATGTCCAGTGTTCTTTTGACTATAATATAGTCACTGTACTATGTAGCCCCTGCTTGAATATTTCTCATGACAGGGTACTCACTACCACGCAAAGCCACCCATCTTGGAACAGAACTCACAAATCCTGGTTCATGTCCAATGTTCTTTTGACTATACTACATAGCCCCTGCTGGAATACTTCTCATGACAGAGAACTCATTAGCAAATAACGCAGCCCATCTTTTGTTGGACTTGCCCAGGATCACTCAGCTAGTTAGTGGTAGGTATCCTCTATGACTACTTCTGGAAAATGCCCAGGACTGTTTTAATTCCTTGGGCTTGATGATAGAGGCAAAACAACATAGGTTTAATATATTTGTTTCAGTCTTCCCTCACCCGCCCTGCCCTTGCATCTCTTTCCTCCAAAGGCAGGCTGCTGAGACAATAGCCTTAGCTGGATTAAGTGAGATGAACCACAGAAGCCTCCATCTTTCTGCCCAGGAGCCAGGATATCAAATCTGATGAAAGCTAATTAGAATGAGTAAGTCACATCAGTGCTGGTAGGGAATGCTTCTATTAGAGTCCCTGCAGATTAGAACCATGTGGGGTCATTAAATTTTACCTTGCTCTCCTTAGTATAGGCAACCACTTTATCCTCCTCTTTAGGATGGAAAATCAGAGTTTCGACAAAGAATGTGATGAGCTGTTTCTGAAAGGTGGCCCCCTCATCGGTGCTCAGGAAAAGGCTCTGGTCCCGGTCATTAAGAGATGAGCTTACGAGAATTATCTGAAACAGAAAGACAAATTATAGGGACATTGAGTTGACAAATCATCACTAGTAATTCTATGATCTGTCAGTCTTTCTCAGTATGATTGCTTCTTTGTGTAATCTCTGCCCACATGCTAAGTTGTACTGAAATCTGTTGAAAACTACAGTGCATATTGAAACTTTATATGGCCACCATTTTGTTTCAAGATGGTAGAGGGATGTATGAGACAGACTTAAGCTGTAAGTTTGCGAAGTTTAGCACCACATAAATTTTCACCAATTAACTAACTCCTTAAAAAGCTATTGCAGAGAAGACTAACAAGGAAAATGGATAGAAAAACAGAAAATGTCAATCTATTGACTTGAAATAGAGATCTCCCTTGCTTGTGACACCCATGTGCTATATAAAAATAACTCAACATTGCCTATATTAAGTACCAATATGATGCCTACACTAACAAGGTTAAGTTTTTGATTTTCAGATACGGTCTCTCTATCCTGCCCAGGTTGGAAGTATATTGGCAGTTATATAGCACTTATAATGTGCCAGGGACAATGCTAAGCACTTCAAGATTATTATCCCACTTGATCCTCACAATAGCATTGGCAGGTAGGTTCTATTCTTATCCCGAGGAAAGTGAGGCAGACAGAAGTTATGTGACTTGCCTAAAGTCACACAGTTTGCATCTGAGGCCACATTTGAATTCAGATCTTCCTGACTCCAGGTTCAGTGCTCTAACCACTGTATCACCTAGATACCTCACCTAATGGTCATCGTTGAAGCTTTGACTTGTTCTGTTTCCAACCTGGGCTGGATTGTTCCTTTTTAGGCAGCCTGGTGGCTTCCCATTCCAAGGGACCAAAGACAGTGGTGCTGAACTTTGGACTGACACCCAATTAATTTTAGTCTAACTTTGTCTCAGAACTCTTGAGCTCCTGAAAGGCTCAGCCTCCCTGACTGCAGGGTTTTCAGGCATGACCGCTAACAAAATTTTCTTAAAATCACCTATTTCAAAGACTCTTTGGTTTGGAAGGGGCCTCAAAAGTAACCTAGTACCCTTTCCTAAAATTTCCCCAGTGCCTCCCTATGGCATGGAGGAAGTCTCAGATCTTCAAAGTCCTTGACAACAGAGCCTAAACCCTGGCATTTCCTGCAGAACTGGGAAGGCTTCCAACACAGGGTCAGCAGTTGGATTATGTTTCTGTCACCCAAGGACCAGTCTAGCTATGTTAAGGAAAACTAACAGGAAGAAAGATGACCGCTAGGGAATGACTAGTGATGATTTCTTTCAGCTGTACCAACTCTTAAAGACCATTTTGCGAAGGTCTGCAATCCAGGTAGGGGAGGGAGCACCCACAGTAGAGAAATAACAAATTTATTGATCTATTGATGCAAGTTATTAGAAACTGTAAGGGCTGGTGGTTACACAGCACATTCAAGTTGGCAAAGTGCTATAATAGACTAGCTCATTTGAGCCTAATAAAAACCCTATGAGGTAATTACCATAGGCATCATTATCTCAATATTTTACAACTGAGGAAAGTGAGGTTCCTTTTAAGTATGCATAGATGAAGAAGAAATGAAGAAGTGGAGGGAAGAGGAGGAGGAGAGAGAGGGGAAGAAAGAAACATTTATTAAGCACCCACTATATTCCGGGTATTATGCTAAGCACTTTACAGATATGTCATTTAATCTTAAAATGACCCTGAGAGATGATGGTATTATTATCCACATTTTATGGTTTAGGAAACTGAAGCAAACAGAAGTTAAATGATTTGATCAAGGCCACATAGCTAATAAGTGCCTGAGGCTGGATTTGAACTGATGTCTACCTGACTCTAGACATGGTGTTCCATGTACCTTGGCACTTATCTGCCTTGCCAATGTTCATATAAAGAAATGAAGGGTGGTGTAGTGGATAGAGAGCAGGCTTCAGAGTCAGGAAGACCTGAGTTCAAGCCCTACCTGAAACATTACCTGTGGGAAGTCATTTAACCCCAGTGCCCCAGCTAGCTCTTAACCCTAGAGAAGGGGCAGATCCATATTGGTAGATGTAGATGAAGTTCTTCATGGGGAGCTCCTCACATGTGACATCACTAACTAAAAATAGTCACATGGCCCTCAATTATTTGAACCCAGGTCTTCCTGAGTCCAGAGCAGGCACTATCCTTTTTTTACCATGCTACCACAAAGACTTCACCAGCCTCAAGCTCTGTGGATATGAATTCCAAAGAGCTTTTCTAAAAGTCTTTTTCCTGCACAGAGAAACAGAAGATAAAGAAGAGGCCAGGGCACTATGACCTAGAGTAGGAAACCGAGCCATGTAAGTAACACGTCCCTTTAGGAACTCAATCGGCTCAGACCAAGAGGTTTGTGTGAGAAACCAGTTACCAAAACCAACACGGTTCACACTTGGGAATGGCAAGAATAGACTTGAAAGCAGAGGACCTGGGGCAAAATACCAGCTGCACTATTTACTACCTGGGTGACCTTGGACAAAGGACTTTACCACTATGGATCTCATCTTTCTCATCTTAAAAGGAAGGGATTTGATGATGACTTCTGGAGGCAGCTATGTGTTTCAATGGGATAGTGGAATTTGGAATCAATGAGTTTTGAGTTCAAATGCTACCTCAGACACATACTAGCTATGTGACTCTGTGCAAGTCACCTATCCTCTCTGGGCTCAGTTTGTTCATCTGGGAAATGGGGACAATAATAACACCTATTTCCCAGAGTTGTGAGGATCAAATGGATTTGGAAAGCTCAATGCAAACCTTAAAGCAATATACAAAGATAATTATTATTACTATCAATGTCCCTTCCAGCTCCAAATCCTATGATTACTACAAGCATTTCAAATGAATAAGATCATGGGAACACTTTGTAAATCACTTGCCTTAAAACAATCTTGTGAAGCAAATAATCCAAGGATTATCATTCCCATTTTAGAGATGAAGAAATGGAGGTGCAGTATGATTATTTGCCTCACCCACCATCACAGAGGCAGTTAGGACTCAGAACTAAATTGTCTGACCTAAGTCCCCTGTTTTTTCCTCTACAGATGTCCTTCCTGTATTCTCCACCATGCCTCCCTGGCTCTTCCTCTTTCCTACCTGAAATTGTCCTTGGGTAATGAAGGGGGGAAGAAGAAAGGATTTATTAGCTTCTCTATAAAGGGAAACATCTGAAACACAAAAGTAGGCTCATCAAGAGAAGGAACTAGCTTTAGAGGGGCAAAATGAGAGTTATAAAAGAAGGAATTAAAAATAAAAAGAGGGGCAGAGGAATTCCATGAAAGGAAATTTATGAACATAGGACAGAGTTTGATGATTATGATGAAAAAGAAGTAAAAGGAAAAGAAAAAAAATAAATGATTTGTGATCTGGTTCTTCCACTTAAAGTGTTACTTAGACAGAAAAATGTCAGATCCTGGCTGGGTGCCTGGGAGGTGTCCCTTTTTTGGATAAGACAGAGCAAGGCTTCAAAAATTGATGGTTATAGGTCAGTTCTAATTGCCTCTGACCATGTTGCACCCTGTACTCTCTACATCTACCTTACCTATGACACAACATAAAATGGTGTAATGTAAAACACAGAATATCAGAGCTGGAAGCTTCCTCAGAAGATGGATCACAGAATGTCAGAGCTGTAAGGGACCTTCTAACATTGAACGTAGAATGTGAGAGACGGAATGAGCCTTTGATGTCATATAATTCAAGCCCTTCCTTTTTAAGATGAAGAAACTGAGACTCAGAAAGAGGAAATTAGAGACAGAGTGACTCTTTCTCCGAATTTCCTTTGTAGCCTGATACTCTCTATTTCCCTCATTGTTCTTACTTCATTAGTATATTTACCTGGGATCAATTGCCCTCTCTTTTCTAGATACTCTCATGATCATTCTCAGATCTGATAGCTCCTGATATTCTGCTTTGCAACCAACTACCTCTATCCCCTAAAATGTACCTGTGGAAGGATTGAATGGACTGATCATTAGCCAGACCCCTTGGTAAACATCACTGATTTTGGTCAAACCAATGGGAACTTGGTAAGCCTATGGGGTCTAAGATCATTGAGGTTACTTTTTGTATTATGGAATCCTTTACCACTCTATTAAAGCTTATGAACCCCTTCTCAGAAAAAAAAAATGTTTCTTTTTTTAAAATTCATAACTGAAAGAAATTCTATAGAAGGTAATGAAAGTAAAAATGTATTTTTTCCTAATTCAAATACATAGGGCCTCTGAAATCTATCAATGGGAAGGGTCCCTGGACCCTAAGTCAAGAACTCCTTCAGAGGCACTTATCACTGGCTCTCATCCACTGCCTAGTGAGGTCCTGTGATGTAAAGAGGGTGTAATGGAAGAGTCAAAAGGTCTTGATTTCACATCCTAATTCTCTTGCATACTAACTAGATATACTGAACAAGTCATTTCCTCTCTTTGAGACTCAGTTTGTCCTTCATAAAATGAGATATTTTTGTTTTTGTTCAGTTATTTCATTTGTGTCCAACTCTTTATAATTCCGTTTGGGGTTTTCTTAACAAAGATGCTGGAGTGGTTTGCCATTTCCTTCTCCTACTCATTTTATAGATGAAGAAACTGAGGCAAACAAGGTTAAGTAACTTGCCCAAGGTCACACAGCTAGTAAATGTCTGAGGCCAGATTTGAACTCAGGAAGATGAGTCTTCCTGACTTCGGGCCCAGCACTCTATCCACCTAGCTAGATAGAATGGACCAATCTATACCACCTAGCTTCCCTAAAATGGGAGATGGACTAATATATCTATGTATCAATTATATAGACATAAACTATATATTGATATATATGATAGATAAAGGTATATACACATATATTAAAATTAAAAAGTTAGGGCATATCAATAAATAGAAATACAAATGCACACACACTAACCCTTTTCACCATGCTATTATAAGGAAACCCCTCTTATACTCAGCCCGTAGTGAAATGTTATTTCTTCTCATATGGCTTAGCAGCTGCTTTCAGCATTAGCTCTA